CGTGCCCGCGGCGAAGCCCAGGCTGTACCGCACTTTAGCCCGCTGGCCGGCCCGAGCGTCCGGAGAAATCCGCCACTGCGCCCGTCCCGCCGCTCCCGTCGGAAGCGCCCCGACGGCCGCTGCGCCCGCCTCGCCCCGCAGTGAAGTGCTTCATGACCCGGTGTACGACGGGGAAGGTTTCTGGGGCGGTTTTCATCCAAAGTCTAAAAATATCAGCTCTATCCTTTCGAAGAGATGCACCGTTTTGTGATGCACACGAATTTATAACCACAGCAGCCAGCAATGCTGTCTTCTGTCACCTGGACATGAGAGCCCACAAAACCCATGGCTCACCCAGGAAGCACTATGCAGAAAGAGGTGCTGCTGCTGCTCTCACCGACCCTGAACCTGACATCACTATTTAGGCAGTAAAAGTTCACCACCACCACTCTGCCCGCAGGAAAATGGCCTTGCAAGCATGCTCGGCATCAGAGAGAAGAAAAATAAAATTGCATTTTGAAGTATTAATTCTTTGAACAGTGAGACAGCCAGAGAGAAGAGGGTTGACACAAACCAATGAGCACAAGAACTCGGTGATCTGCTCGTCTTCAGAAGATGATGAGTCCCTACATATGGGGCTGCCTGGCTTGACTGATTCAAGGAGCTCCGCAACCAACAAGGTCACTGGGTGGGTACCGGTCAGCCACTGCAAACCACACCATGAAGTACTCCCATCAAATCCTGTGCAACCTCATTTGTCAAGAATAATTATAGCAAATTTGCAAAATTCTTAAAGAACAAGGCATTAAAAATTTTCTTAAACACGAAGCACATAAATAGGCCTTGCTGAAAACCCTCTGAAGCTTTTAGGCTCCAAGGGGTCCCTAAAGGCTGAGGCGAGATGGGCTTCAAAACACAGGTGGACTGCTCAGTCTGTTAGCCCCAATACATAATTTGTTCTAAAATACTAAGCTAGATACAAAGGTATGCAAGTAACACTCAAATTCAACATTTAGGTTCTTAGTTTTCTCTTCATACAACATCCCCGTTAACACGTTAAATCTTTGTTACCTGCATTGGCATGTTTCTTCACAAAGGAAAAAAACTACAGAAAACATTTCCTTTCCTTTGTTCTTTTGTAGGCTATTTCAATTTTGTTGTAAATTATGTTAATGCACAGGCTTTACTCAAAACAGCGAAGGCTAAACAATGAATAACTGATAGTGTTTGTGTGTTTCACAAACTCAAGCATTGATCAAGCTAGTTTTACTGTTGTTTGACCAACGCACAACGGCTATCTATAGCACTGAGCAAGAGATTAGGCTGTTCAGACACTACAGGTAGCTAATCAGTCTTTACAAATTGATCAAAACCAATTAGATTTAGGAGAGCCCTGTATTCATTCCAAAGATTTTCTCCAAATTAGGAAGTTATCCAATCGCAGATTGTTGCCTTTTTTAAAATACACTTTCTAGTCTAACGTGGGATTACTGCAGTCAGCATCACTCTTGACATTGAAGATTTGCTTTCATTTTGTAATTAAGATCGTGATACTTTCAAACTGCAAATACACACCCAAGTCCACCAAAGCTGTACCCAGAAACAGTTGATTCCACTAAAGCACAATATATAGCCAGACAGAATCAAGCTATCCAGTCTCCTAAAATACCAGGAGCAGATATGAATGAACGCTGAAATACTTACCGCTCCCTTCCAAAACATGATCCTTCGGTAACAAGCAAAATGGACTGACTTACCTTAAAATTTGACACACACTCCCCCTTTTCAATTTCAATCTTGCAATAATTATTTAATTGATTTTCTATGTTCCAAATGCAGGAATAGTATACTGCTACTTTGACATTTCGTGCACCTTTTAGATAAGAACAACTGAGCTTATAATCAAGTACATGTGGTTTCCTAATAGTTTTACATTAAGACAAATCCAAAAGCACTGATTAATAAAATTCACTGTTCAGGAAGCTCTGCAATCTGAGGGTCGGATCTGTGTCTGTAGGTGACCTCTCAATTTTACTAGTGGATTCGTCTGCGCATTTCTTCCCACTACTAGAGATCTGGTAGGCTTTTCATACAGTAGAGAAGTCAGTGCAAGAGCAAATAAAATTTTGTTGTGTTATTTGCTACATAAGCCTGAAAGACACAGTAGCACATCAAATTTATAGCAGTGCAGTTAACTGCATAGTTTTCAGAGATTTGCTTTCTGAATACACTGAATAGATGTATTTGTGCAGTTGACTTTCATTTTACTGCTCTCAAGCATACCAGAAGAAATGCTGAAGCAAAACAGTTTTACATCCCTGGGAATGAAGGAAGTGCATCCCTAGATTGAAGTACCACGACTTTTAGATAGACTTCAAGTCACTCCAATTAAGCCATTTTATATTTAGAACAAAACCCGGAAATCTCAACCCCATCTTTCCTTTAACCATGCAAAAGTAGTACAATCCCAACAATCATCCATTTGTGTAGGTAGCACAAACTAGTCAGCACCCACTAAAGGCCCCAGGATAAGTCTTTACATAGAGACTCTGGTTCCATTCACAAGTCCAAGTGCTACTTAGCAAACACAATACAAAATAGGTAGTCTTTATGTTGATTTCCCCTTTAGCAAAACATGGAATAGTTGGCTACAAATTTTATGCCTCAAGTACATCAATAACAAAATAAAAGATTTGGATGGAAATGGGGCAGAGGGGGAAGAACTATCAGTTTTCAAATAAGGATCTTCAACATCTTTGCAGCTTGGCCACATGCAATTACTGTCTCAATCAGTTGGCCAGTTGAGGACAGAGGCAGATACATAGTACAAAAACAACTGTGTCCCTCTAAGCCACTATTCCTCTCTAGTAATCTCAGAAAAGCTGATTTTTTTGTGTGACAAGGCTAAAAGTAGAACTCTATCCTAATAAGCTAGGTAGTTTAACATCACCCTATCTGTAACACACCCGTAGCAGCACAAGAGAGGCAAAAACCACTTCAAACATTGTTAAGAATTCCTTCAGAGCTTACTTTGAGGCACTTCATATGCAGTATGCACCAGACTACCTCATTTCTGTCTTCTCACATGCACCCACCACGTGAAGACTTCATAGAACATTACACTGCAGATCTTGTGATAAAAGTTAAAAAGTTAAATCCTGAAGATACTGATATTGAAGACTATCAAGATAGTTAAGAGTTCAAATGTGAGCTTCTCTGCAGTGTGTTGCCTAAAAGTTACTGTGAGAAGAATGCAAACTGCAGCAGCTTACACCACAATGTAAGTGAAACCAATCAGTTTAGTTTCACTTTAGTCCAAAGTGCAAAAATAAATACTACTTTTCCTTAAAAGGTGCTATCAGTAGTAATTAAGTCTCAGAGAACTGTTCCGCCTAAATACACTCATTAAACAACTAAAGAGTTTTCTACCTAAGAAAATTCTAAGGACGACCTGTTGTACAGTTACCTCTGCTACATTATATAGCCAGGCTCTGACCACCAAATTTAGTTGAAAATACTTCTATGATAGCAGATGATAGCACAGCACACATTTTGCTCTCTAAGAGCACAGTACGTGAGGATGAGAGTGCATCCAGATATTGCTGGTTACATTTTTGGTTTTGTCTAGTTCCACCTGTATGTAGTTTTTGGCCAGTTAAAAAGCTAATTTGATCTTGTGCTTTTGATAGCGTTTTTCTGCTCGTTCTTGAGCTGTCCATTAGGTGTAGCAGCAGTTTTATAGTCATTGTCAGGTGCTTTTATCACTAAGAGTCTGAAGGGGTCGGTTGTTTTCTGAAGTCTCTGAACAACGACAGCATTTTGCAACTTTGCTTCCTCTAGTGTGAGTGCCTCGTCTCGCAGCTCTCGAAACGGCAGCGAAGTAGTCAGTGTGAAGGGAACACTTCCCTCTGATCCTTGGTACTTCGTTATGAAGTCTCTGACATGGCTTATTCTGAGAAGAAAAAAAGAAAACTCAGCATTAGAGCACTCCAATCCCAACACAGACCATATGCACACCACACTTAGCCACCACAAGAAGAGAATGAGACACCCACTTCATGTAATATCTGATGGCATAGAAATGGAGGAATATAGATGGGGTGGTATCCCGAAGTGGCTGATCCACTTGGGAGGCAAGGAGCAAGGTCTGCATGCTCTGAGAGCAGTCCCAAGGGAAAAAGGATGATTATCGTATTCTGAGCACTCAAATGCTTCACTGTGGCTCAGATGGTAGTCACACAAGCCTATCATTTGTTAACCAGCTGGTGGAGCTCTTACCTGAGGTTTCTGCAGCCAAGAGCTAGACTAAAGATGCCTCCAATGTGTGCTACACATAGTGGAACCATAACAACAATAAAGCAGAAGAGTTTGCAAAAGTTGTCTGTACGGCTTATGAGTTATCTAGGTCTAAATATAGCCTCCTTCTACCAAAGCAGGCGCAGCAGCAAATTCATTACAGATTCAAGCTGCCTGTTAAGGTGTGGAGAAGCTTGCAAGAAGTGAGCCCAACAGAGGTTTTGCTGTGGAAGAATCAGGACTGACCAACTCAATTAGAAAATGAAGATTACAGGATACATCTATATCAGTAAAATAAACATAATGTCAAGGCCCATTCTCGGATCTTGAGGTCAAGCTGGTAGACTCTGGCTACTGGTAAGTTATTAAACTCATCCTTCCTCTCCTCCATGCACAGGGTAGCCCATGGGGTTTATGCCTCCTGAAGCAAGCCTAGATATTGTTTGAGAAAGGGCTAGGTGCCTTGGGGGAAAGCCATCCTAACAGTTTAGCAGCACAGATGACCAAATTTTCATGCCTTAGCCATACTTACTAGGATAGATACAGCATCTGATTCCTGTGCATATAGCCTCAATTAAGAGACAGTACTTGGTCTTAATAAGCCTAGAGCCTGAAAAACCCCAAGAAGGAATAAATTTTTTGGTTGGACATTCACAGGTGTCTATATGCATTGTATCAAAGCCCATTGGGTCCCAAGAGCAATTCAGACAATTAGCCATCAGCTATCTGCTTCAGGATGAACGACTTCCTTTCCAGGCTCCATACCCAATGCTCCAGGATCACACTAACTTTGCAACTGCTAAGGAAGGGACACAACTCAATTCAAGACATAGCTATGTGTGCTATTCCTACAGCACTGCTTTGCTAGTTGCTTCACTTTCATGTTTCCTTGATTCCCCATACTTCAGCATTACAACAATGCCACCTGTGCGTTTGGTCCCAATGCTGCAACTTCAATCTTTCATCAGTAATCAAGTCATATCGAAAGTAGTAGAATGTGTCTGAGCCACAGTAACTATCTGCAAAAGGGTAAAAGTTATCAGTTTACCCAGGCACTGCAATATATATGCTACCTGTCATTTACTTGTAGTTTAATTAACAACTAGTGGACTGTTTTCTGCTTCTCCATTGAAAGGATTACTATACATGCAATCATAATGCCTAAGGATATGTACCCTAAAGGGATTTTCCCGTGTTTCTTATTAAGTCATACACAAATACTGTATACAGCACAAACATGCTGGTCTTGTGGTAAGAGGATCCGTTATGATGGAATATTTATTGCAAACTACTTCAAAAAGAGCATCACATCAGCAAGGTTATTGTTCTGCTTATATTTTTTTTTCAGACTTTTTTTTTCCTCCAAAAGCACTTAGCAGCTGTTCAAACTGCTATTTACCACAAAGAAAAAAAGCTTCTAAAAGTACTTAAATGTGTGAAACCTGGAATAATTAAGATATTAAGCCTCTAAATGAAGTATTTATAATTAAAATAGCAATCGAACCTTCAACAGTACATCACAACGTTTCAGTTCATACCTCAGGCCACTAACAGTAATAAATTAGTACAAGTCAAAAGAAAAAGTTACAGTCATTAACCTTCAACTGCTGAGCTTTTCTTCTGACCAGTCACAAATACATAAGGAGTTTATCTTGACAGCAGCCTGGGCTGTATTAAATCTATCATCACTTTAAATCGCGTCATAGAAAAGCACAGGCAACATATCCTTTCCATACAATGTGACTGTATAGTACTGGAGTAATTTCTCAAATTAAAAATTTGAGAAAGGTCTCTAAAGACAGTAGTTCTACAATTCAATGTTAAAACAGTTTATCCTATATTGTGGTTTACCCCCAGCCAGCAACTAAAAACAACACTCAACTCGCTCACTCACTCCCCCTGCCATGGGATGGGGGAGAGAATCAAAAAAGTGAAAGTGAGAAAACTTGTAGATTGAGATAAAGACAGTTTAATAGGTAAAGCAAAAGCCGTGTGCACAAGCAAAGCAAAACAAAGAATTCATTCACCACTTCTCATTGGCAGGCAGGTGGTCAGCCATCTTCAGGAAAGCAGGGCTTCGTAACAGTTGAATATCATGCATAACAGTTACTTGGGAAGACTCCCATCACTCCAAACATCCTCCCCTTCCTTCTTCTTCCCGCAACTTTACATGCTGAGCATGACATCATACAGTATGGAATATCCCTTTGGTCAGCTGGGGTCAGCTGTCCCAGCTGTGTCACCTCCCAACTTCTTGTGCACCCCCAGCGTCTTCACTGGTGGGGTGGGGTGAGAAGCAAAAGAGGCCTTGACTCTGTGTAAGTGCTGCTCAGCAGTAAAATGTCCCTGTCTTATCAACACTGTTTCTAGCACAAATCCAAAATAGAGCCTCATAGTAGCTACTATAAAGAAAATGAACTCTATCTCAGCCAAAACCAGCACATCCTACTTTCTCAAAGCTCCTGTGTACATACGCTGTGCTGACACCTTCTGGTGTTATACCCATTTATAAGCCTCTTTGGGAATCAGAAATTTTACTAGTTAAGAATTAAGCGCATTGGACACATCCTATTCTGTTCATGTTGACATGCAGGTGATGAACCTCCCCACCTGGTGCACTGACTCCAGCCCTCTCCCTAGAGGTTTCTCCAGCTCAACTCTAAGTCACATCCTCCAGCTCCCAGCTGTGGTGCTGTCTATGCCCAATGACTAGCAGGCTTTTTACTAAGCAATTTGCTCCAGATGTAGTCATTTTGTGAGAGATCTGTCATCTTAAAAGCTGTTTCCTCCAGTAACGAGCAATATATACACCTTAACTTCCACTAACCTACAAAGAACTCCTAGGTTTCCTCACATTTTCATTTATGCTCAGTTATGTGCTGACTATTAACATCAGTTCACATTCCTTTTACACTCCTGTCAGCTAAAAGATTTCTCAAAATTTGAAAGAAGGTTTTCTAGATACAGCTGAACAGCAGTCCAACGTTAAGTGAACTGAGGAGGTAGATTATTTACAGAAATTTGAGATTTATCATGCATACAAGCATAGGACAAACAGTTAAAATGCAAATACATACGAGAGTGCTAAAATAAATCTTACCTGTGAGAAACATTGAATTTCTGAATTATCCTTTCCCCATCAGCTAACCAGATCTGGATGTTAGTGATAGGCTCTAAGTCATTTAAGGGAACTAAAGGCAGATGTCTTTTGTTGTCAGGTCCTTGATGATCATCTTTTACTTTAGAGATTATCCTTGGAGTAGCACTGCAAAGAAAAGCCATACGAGGTTATGCCTTCTGTGTACACATGTAAGCTTGAACCTCCCTCCAGATCTATGCTTCTGGAACTTTCTGCCCTATATCAGGGTGCATTGATGACTTCTTTTTTTAAGAAACACAGGAACAGTGACATAATGTCACCTTTCTTTTTTTTAACTGTATGCCAGTATTTTCTCCTGAAGATTTCAACATGCTAAAGAATTTCAGTTTGCTCATGTTAAACATTTTTACAAGATGGAAGGGAACTTAAATATCAAAGGATTGAATATAAATACACAAGGGATGAAACAGTCTGAAGATTCTTTGGCAATTTTTGTACTCTAATCACACAGGTGAAACTTTAAGGGGTTTGAGCATCAAATTTGCATATCGAATGTTAATTTTCACCATAATGTGATTACAGTAATTCAATTTAACCAAATGTTGTTAGCCTTGATTTAGACCCCAGCATCACCTATTTCAGCTTAGAAGCATTACTCATCTATCAGAGAAATTGACTTAATGTGAAAATCCAGGCTGATGCATACTGCACTCAGATTTGGGTTTTTCCTAAGGCACTTTCAATAGCCGACTCTACCATAAGGGCAAAGATCCATAAAATGACTTGACAGAATACAGGGACCTCAGTCCAAGTGCGTGATCTTAAAAAAAAAAAAAATACTGGCAAAACTTTTTATTCTGAAGAAATATCTAGAGCTTAGTGCTTCTTTCAGGACTAAGCTTGTTCAGCATGCACTGTTCAAGTCATTGTAAGGCCTGATCCAACAGCCACATTCTTAGTTCATGTGAGTATAATCAGATGTTTGCTTGCAAAACAGTAGCAGTGATTTCAGGAGTCACCATTTCTTCTCTGAGCACAGCTGTAGTCTTTGACTACATGAACACTTCATGGTAGTTTGTGGAAAAGGTTTCTCTTTGCACATAAATTGATGAGTTAGTTTCTTGACAGAGAAAGTAACCAATGGCCATAGAATAACAGTCTTAACAATACTACACCTGCTTCACGGACAAACTCCATCCTTTCATCCTTATGTTCTCGTACCTGTCTTAGTTTAATCATAAAGCCGAAAAGTCACAGCCAATTTGTTATCAAAATTAAGATGGTTAATGACTTAATATATTCAGGCTAATAAAATTAGAGTCTTAGGCTGAAGTCCTTCTCAGTCTGAGGTATTTCTAAAACTTTTACCACCCACTGCCTAGCTCTACGCTGTCAGCCAGTAAAGGCACTTCTTATTTCTGTCATTGAAACTCGGCAAAAAGAATGAGAATCAAGGAATCTCATTCCCAAGCGAGTGATAGATGTTCACTGCAACTGGAGACAGACAAGAGGCACAGAATTGACTGGTCTGCACTACACAGTAATCAGCTGGGGCACAAGAACTTGGCACCAGCAGATTCCAAGAGACCAGGCTGGATGAGGCTTTGAGCAATCTGGTGTAGTGGAGGGTGTCCCTGCCCATGGCAGGGGGGTTGGAACTAGATGATCTTTGAGGTCCCTTCCAACCCTAACTGTTCTGTGATTCTGTATCTGTAAAACATAAGTGTCTTACTATTACCCATCTGCCTCTATCGATTTACTTATCTCACACTCAACTTCTATTCATGCTTGACCTCAATACAAAATAAACTATAATTGCCCAATAATTTTCCTCTGGAAAAAACCTTGAGCAGCAGCAAGATAATGTTAAACAGTCTCAGGAGCAGAGCAAAAATTAAAAGTTTAAGTCATACTTTGTCCAGCAATGATCAACTCTCGCTGTCTACTTGATCAGTAGTGTTCAGTTTCAGGTTCAGACACTGAAGCACAAGCACTCACGTGCGAGCTAGCTGTCTCCAGTACAGTGGAGGCTGGAGAGGTAGTCAACCATGCAGCTGCCAGGTGTCTGGTTTAGCCTGGGCTGAACTACATTTTAGCTCATCAGTCACAGCTGTAGTTCAGACAACTGTCTCAAATGGATACAGATTTTGGTGTCATTCTCAAATCGACTTCCCTCATGGTCGCATCTCAGAATTTGTAGTAAACACTGGAGATTATTCTTTCAATAGCGAGTATTTGTGAAACTGAAGCCAACACATTAAGCTAAGCTGCAAGAGCAAGTCAGAAGATCTATATTCACCAAAGTTTAAAGCATTCGTATACTTAATAACTTTGCTCTTGTACAACTGACAGATAAAAGCCATCTAGTGGTGGGAGTTTTGACTAAAGCCACAAACCAAGAATCTAAGTTTCTTATTAGTCTGAGATCAAAAAATTATTCCTTTTAGAGGCTTCTTCCTTTCATAAGACTATCAAAAGAAGATGTAAACTAAAGATAGAAGAGACATAAGAGCCTCCTGACAATTTTCTGAAAAGAACGAGCCTCAGAGTTAGGTATCATCCCTTACCCTGACTAATGGTTAAGAAGCTTGACACACAACGTTTTACCCTAATGAGGTTATAGGGCTAGCCCGCTTTGCTATAAAGGATTCCAGACAATGGTTTAACATGCATCTGAGGCAGTATTTAAAAAAAAGTATTGATAAGCTTAATAGAAAAGTGTGGTTGCAAATCTGGTTATAGTCCCAAACTATTAAATGCAGCTGAACAGGATGTAGACAAAACACAATACGCTCATTAGTTATACAGGTTCATAAGGTATATTGGAAAAGTCTGATAAGTCTCATTTGTTTCTCCTGAATGACAAAAAGGTAGAGCATCAAACTCATCTTAGTTATATCAAACATATCATTTCTAGTTCCTCCACTTTTCCTCTAGCAAAAGTTTTAACGAGCCAGTCAACAGATCGATTCATAACGGTTCATCCACCACATAATCCATCCATATGGGAACACTGGCAGAAAATCTATAGACTATTAAAAAATGCTTATTTGATATGCAGAAGTTTAGCTAGGTCATAAGCTAAAGTAAACTGTTCAGTTATTTTCTGCTCTCACTTCTCATTAAGCACACAAATGCAATGTGGAAGGCAAGTTCTATAGCAAGTTTTAAGCTACAGGTCTCAGGTAGCACTACTATTTCCCCACAAAGCTTGTCTGCTGAAAGAGTAGGATATGCATGCAATGGACATTTATAACATAAGGAAGCGAGCACGAGTTTATGGAGTAAAAGCACTTACGGCTCATGTTTCCAACATCAGCAAAAATACTTACTCGACTTTAAAGAAAAGGCTCCGATAGTATAACACTGAATAGACTAGTAAAAGTAGAGGGGGAAAAAAAAAACATTTTATCCAGTTCATAAGGAAAAAAATGCTAAGCAAGTTGTAGGATGTCTCAGTGTACAAGACCAGTCAACTGAAATTCACAGAACAGCATGCTTCCAGAACCTAATTCGTCTATTGGGAAGCAAGATCATTACTTGCTGTAGGCATGACAGAGCATAACAAGCAACTGAACAACCTTCCCCGTTTAGCACTGGTTAGCAGCAGAAACCCAGCACACTGAAGATCTTTTTGCTTTTGCTATATACAGGTCTACTTGTAGATTAAGTAAGGTTGAGTTCTTGACCCTTGTTTGCTCAGGATTTCACTGCTACCAAAGCCTTGCAGTATCTCATCCATCTCTCAAAGGAAGATTTTCCTTATTGACTATATCTACTCAAGCATGTAGCAACTGAATCGACTGTGCTACAGAAACAGATGATACTGATAAAACAGATACCTGCTTCTCTAAAGCAGCCTGGAACCACTCATCCTTTACAATTATCAGTTTCTTACTTTGCACATTATTATCTTTTTCTCCTGCTTCATCCATTCCTACCCAGGTCATGCATTCCCTCAGCAGATGCACTGGGCCTTAGCAGCAAGCTCTTTCCACTTGATCAGAACAAGCTGTCCACCTAAGGTTTCACCATAGTCCACTAACTCCAGTCGGCAGGTCACTACGCAGTCCCACCTGTGAAGGCTTCCTGTAGGCTCCTGGTCACTGAGTACATTCTGTTCCTTAGGCTGAAATCTGCTTTTACAGGCACCTAAGTCTTACACAACACGGATATGTGAAGCAGATAATTTGGCAAGAGCAAGCAAAAGTCACAGGGATCAAATACATGAACTCCTGGCCTGCTCCTCTACAACAGCCTTCCAAAATACAGCACTGTTTGGTTATAAGTCAAGTCCAGTTTTAGCATTGGCATTAGTGGCTCATCCTCCCTAACCACAAGAGAGTCATGGAATAAAGGAAAGAAGATCACTAATATGCTAAAATGTCTTACTGCAATAAATGCATGGTTAAATACTGAAGAATTTTAAGAGAATGAAAAATAACCTCTTACTTCTTCAGTTCCCTTTATGGGATTGTCATACTCCTCTCTTCTTACACAAAGTACTGCACATACAGCTTTAAAAGAGATTCTTTTCTCTTAAACCACAGAAGAGAAGAGTGACAGCCTTTCAGCTGGAAACAGTTCTGCTAATATTGAGACCTTGAACCAAGAAAGCCAACAGCATCCTGCTGCACTAACAGGAACACAGCCAGTAAAGTCTGGGAGCCGATTATCCTCCATGCAGCACTCATTAGACACACCTAAATACTGCATTCAGATTTGGTACCTGAGATAAAAGAAAGATGTCAATAAACTGGAGGAAGTTCCACAGAGGGCCACCAAGATGGCTGCAGGCTGGAGCATTTGCCCTTTGAGCAAGGGCTGGAGAGGCTTGTTCAGTCTACGGAAGAGATGCTGCCAGGGGGGACACCTAACAGCAGCCTGCCAGGGTGTACATCAGGAGCAGAGCACCAGGATCTTCATGGCAGACATAAAGAGAGGTTCAGACTGGTTATAAGGAAAAATTTATTTCCCATGAGGACAGTCAAGCACTGAAGCAGGCTGTGCAGCTTCCACTTTTGCGGGATTTCAAGGCCCAACTGGATAAAAGCCTGAGCAACCTTATCTGCCTCCACGGCTGACCTTGCTTTGAGCAGGAGTTTGGATCAGAGACCTCCAGAGGTCACTTCTAACTTGAATTACGAGATCCTTTACCATAGGTACAGTTTCCTTAAGCTATTCAACCATAGATCACATCAGACCACTCACCTTCCTAATCTGTAACCGTGTCCAGAAAAGGGATGAAATATTGGCTTTTTCGATGACAAATATACCTTATCTTTTTTGTCTTCCACTTTCACATCTACCTCCTCCTTATCAAAAACTTTTCGTAGCTCAAAAGGCAGTTCCCTTAAGAAAAAAAAAAACCACATGTCAAAAAAAGAACTACTATACCATATGCTTTCAGTATACAAACACTAATGATTAATACCTATGTCTATCCTTTCAAGGATGATGCTTTTAAAAAAAACAACTTCACAAGTATTTACTAAGAGTTATGCATTAAGTGCATGACATACAAATAACTTCCAAGTTCCTGAACTACAAATTAACTAGAAAGTGAACAATAAAATAAGACATCATCATGCAAGTTGTTGAACGATGTTAAAATTTACTCAGCATTTACCACTCCGAAGCACATGATGTGTAGGAAGTTCAGTATTGCCCTACATCGCTGCAAAAGGTTACATTATTTTACCTCCATAGTAAAACAAAAAGAAAAAAAAAGACAATTGGCTTTTAAAAGGAAAGAACTGAGTTTAGACACAATGTGTTTAATTACAAATAAACACAAATCTCAGCTTTTAAAAATTAGATCATCACTAATAGCTAGTCTTTAGTGCAGTAACATCACCTTGGTAATGTTTTATTTGCATTAAGCAAAACACAACAATGCCTTTGTCTGTGAGCTCTGATGCAGACACTACATTTTCAGGTAGTGGGGCTCAGCTGGCACAGAGGCTGTACTAAGTGCTTTTCTACAATCAACAATTGTGCAGGAACCATCTTGTAATTAGCATCTTCACAAAAAAAATGGTGGCAGAAAGGTAGGAAACTTTCCATGCATACAAAGAAAGCAAAGAGCTTTAAACAGTGCAGTTAATTGCTATTACAACTAACACAGGTGACTGCCATAGAGGATAAATACAACACAAAATTAGTATTTTTGATGGGCTAGCAAAGTATGGAAAAGACAAAAATACAATGGTTTAGTAATTTCACATACTCAAAAAGTAGTTATTAAATTATATTCTCCATACAACTGTATTCTCCTCTCCATTTGTATGGGGTGAGGAAACAGATTACAAAGTAAAGGCTCAAAATTACATTGGTTTGTATGGTCAATCTGCTTTTTTAAAGCAACGCTACAAACACTAGCAGAAATCAGGAAAGCATGCTAATTTTTAACAGGAGGATAAAAGTAAGATTGCTATATACACATAAATGACTGAAACAGCAAGTTTGTACCAGGAAAAATGTCTGAAATTTAAGACTGATCAGAGTTTCTTGATGTTACATGGAGGAAACGTGCCCATTTAAGGCTTTTAATCAATAAAAAGAAAACAAAGACCATAAAACCAGAAACGCTCCACCAGTTGTGCACTGAGTTCGTTAGTCAAAGTACCATTTGACTAGTAGCTCTTACTGGGCATTCTGATTTCTTCTTTATTTCATTCTGTGCCTGCTGTGCCCCGACCAACACTCACTTTTATTTATTTCATCAGCAACTGTACAACCACTGCAACTGAAAGCTACATTAAACCTGTTGATGTTAAAACAGCCATTAGCACTGCGGGAACTGAGAGAGGCAGTGGCCTGTGCTCCTACAGCGATGCTGCAGTGCAGCAAAGCCAAGCAGCTATGTAAAAAATTTAGAGCATGAGCTAAGTGCTATCCAAAGCACATTAACTCAGGCTGATTAAGAACACAAAACTCACTTACCCTTTTTTAACGGAGTCCAAGAACTGCTGGTTTGCTACATCAGTGTAGCTCCTAAGTTCACCATCGTTTACTGTAAACCCATTTTTCCAAAGTTTAATGATTACATCAACCTATAAAGTAAGAACAATTCTCATAATAACACTGATGTAAAACCAGCTCAGTATACCCACAGTACCCTATGACTGCAAATCACCCACTGCATGGACTAAAAATACTGAGAGAAAGCTCACTATAATCTGTTTCGGCCCTGAGCCAACAGGCAGAGCAACTGCAAGGGGTAAGCGACATTTTTAAGTATCTTGTGTCAATCAGGCTTAGAAATAAACCTTCCCCCCAATCATTTTGCTTTCCTAGGTCAAGAACATGCCTTCAATTCAGCAGGGGAAGAAAAAAAAAAAAGAGCTGGAAGATCCCAGCCAGCTGCAACTCTTCAAGAGCTAATTTGAGAGCACATACGCCTGGTGTTGGAACACCAACTACCAGAATAGCCCAGCTGGGGGTTTATTAAGGTAAAGCCTTGTTTATCCAGAAGGACTTTCTGAAAGTAAGACATTGAGATAATGCGTGCAGAAGCCTTTCACTCAGGAAATACAGCAACTGTCAGATAATTTACTTTCAGACAGTCATACATTTATGTTACTCTGGAATTCCTGGGTATATTCAAGAGCCTGGTGTTAGGGGAATGAAAAAATAAATTCTCAGTAATTCATTCACTTTGCCAGGACCATCCACTACTTCGACTTGTAGCCTTCACACTGGTTCACTGAAATCTCTCCAACTTTAACATGGATATATTTAGGATTGTATTTTCATATTAATGTATCATGCCATTTAATGAAGCATTTGGTCATCCAGAACCGGTCCCTGAAATAAGGTTGTCTTGACAAGATACTTGACCACATGTGAGGTATATGAAGCACGTACAAATGCAGAATTCATTTCAGCTGGAAATTAGTTTGAACTAGGCTCGACAGTACTTGACAATTTTATCTTTTTTTTTTTCTTTTTTTGCACAGTTCGACTTGTTAGATGATGATTGGTACATAAATACACAGCACATGCAAACTGCTGAATAAACCTCCCCCTCTTTTGGTTGGGTAATCTGTCGAAAAGCTATATACCACTCAGCAAGAATAGATTCCTTTAAAAAGTCTTGTGTCACATGGCACCAATGCATATGGAAGGAGTTCTCATCATGGCAAAGTTCCTCTACAGTGAATCAGTAAGCAGGTTTAACATTGACTAATTATTCCACACCAACTTTCCATTTAGACATTGACACAAGTGCTGCCAGGGAACACTGTTTCAGAACTGCAGCTTAAGGTATTGCTCCTCATGCTCTTTTTCTCCCAGAATGAGTTGGGGATTCATGAACGTAATTTCCAGCGATGCCTGCTTCAAACTTCTCCTTGACATTTTTGTTGTACATGGCCTATTCTCCAGCCCTTTCCCAGTCTTTGGGGAGTAACAGAAAAATATGAAAAGGACAGAATCACTGAGATACAAACCCATACTAAAAATCCCACTACTACCACAACCATATAAATGAAAGCAAATGAAAAAACTTGGGCTATGCCTCGCATAAAAAGGCTGCAACTCTTTAAACAACTTCTTATGTAACAGCAGTTGTCATTCTTTGCACCTCACCATCAGCTCACTCTTCTTACTGATAAAGCAGAAATGCATTAGCCAATGCCAGCTAAGTCCTAAACCAACACTAAAACCACTAAAAAAAGCAAGAGCCAGAAGCACAGGCCTGCTTGACTATAAGATGGGAGACTGTTCCTACCGCTGTCTGAATTCTGTGTGCTTTTATTTACAGATGTACTGGGTAAGACTGCAAGACTTTTGGCATTTGTTTTCCAGAGTACTCCTGGAATGCTATTATGTTAAACATGAGTATTTTTTCTTCACCGCCTACCTGGTTCTTGACTGTAGTTGGGGGCATACATATAGCACCAACCTTCTGAGCTTCTTCAAAAAGGTTATCTACAAAGTAGTCACAGTTTTGTTCTGTACCATTCAAAATTCGATCATCAGTTCCTGATTTACACATCCTGCAGAATAAAGACATAAGTAAAAATGATGCCTCAGAGAACACATTGGAAGATAAGCAGTCGCCCTGAAAGTTCAGTACCAAGAGGTAAAAGGCATGCTCCCCTGCTCCCAGCTGACTTGGTTGTTACAAAACATCAGGTCAAGGTTGCGTTGTGTCTTTCCTAGAAACTTCTTACTAATCTCTAACTGCTACTATTTGCACTTCAGAAGCACAAGTTAAAAGAATGACAATAGAAAAGGTGAATTCATCTATGCAGAAGCTTCTAAACTTGGTATCAGAGCAAGGAATGCAAGTTAGATGATTCATACTTCTACTTCAGACCATCAAACATTTAACTGCACACCAATGAAAGATCTTCCTTAGAGCATTTCCATGATATGGGCCTGGGGGGCTTTCTCTGCCATAAGTTTTAAAAAACATATACAAGAAAATTGCCCTGGGATTTACTCCCCTGCCCCCACCTAAATCTCCGCATTCCCAGCACCATCACAGAACCACCATAACTGTCTTTGAAAGTACATTACAGAAACTCACGAACAAGTGACTCAACACCACTTGAGCACACTGAAGAAATACAACAGAAGACTTCAATATTGTGGAGACTGCCAGACTACTAAGAAGATGCATCAACCCCATCTTTTTATAGAACATTGTATACGTGACAGCTGCTTCTGTTAGATTTTCACCAATCAAAATGCAGAAATATGCAACCTGAATGGATGATTATCTTTCAGTTTAGGTTCTTTGCATAGTAAGAGGATTATGTAGCTTTTGGTAAACATTGCAGGAGTTACTGCTATTGGAAATTCAGAAAAGTCTATTTTAAGCAATTCAGAAAAAAAAATCCTAGCTCTTGAAAAACATCCAGTTTTACATAAAACTCTGCATTGAATTCAAGGGCAGCAATGCTTACTTGAATGGTAACTAGATATATTTGCATAAACAGGGATTGTTTCCAGTGCATAAAAGCAACATTAAGAATCCCTACAGATTAACATCTTTAAACAAAACTCAACAATATTAAAGAAGAAATTTCAAAAGTATGCTGTCCCTCCTCTAGTTTTCTAATAGAACAAAAGAAAATTGAAGTGTTAATCCAGGTATTCACTATGCTTTACCTTAGGAATGTAACTGGAAAACCAAACACCTCCATACTGAATGCAGAGGTGCACAGTGACTTAGTGATTTGCAAGGCAAACTTTCTCTTTTAAATAAAAATATTTATGCAGCTTCTTGCATCTTGGAAACATTCCAGGTATGTGAAAAAATCTTTGGGTAAAACAATATTTTTTTTTTTTTAAACTTCAGTATATGTGGAGCAGGTGCATACAGAAAAAAAATATTTACAATTTAACATTAAGTTTGAAAAGTCGTGACAGGACACAGAAACAGTAATAGGGAAGGAATAGGAAAAAGGGGGAGGGGGGGAACTGGCACCTACCATTCTTTCTTCACAGTTTTGATATTGTCCATGTCTTTCATTTCTGGTGCCTTGCCTAATTATGAAAAGAAGATAGTTAAAACAACAAAACAAAAAAATCCAATCAGACAAAATGCCCAGCACACTTTGCCTGCTTTTGTAGCTGAAACACTCTTTATAGTTTTTCCTGTGTCGAAAGCACATTTAACCAGAAACCTCAACTGCCCCCCCACCAAGTCTCCAGATGGTTCTTTGTTTTCCTGCAGTTTCTAATTTAATGACACGCGAACCATGTATCGGTTTCAGACATTCAATAGGAAGATTACTTTTTCATAAACGTACAAAATAAATTCCACAATAATCACGTGAATTAAAAATACATGACCATATTTATGCTAAGCAAAGAAAAAAAAATCACGTTCCTTTTCTGAGCAGCATGATTTAAACTCCCCTGATTTTTCACAACACTATGAGACAGTTGCAGAAAAACTGCACTGCCACTGCAGGCATTCTAATGACCTTCACCTTAATGGCACGCATTATCAAAAGGTGCAAGGTTTCTGAGGTTCCTCTTCCTACCACAGCTCAACATATTGGTGCAGCATCCTAGAAACTGTGAATTATCATTTCTGGTCTACTGTTTAGCTGGAAATAAAATCCTGGATTTGCAAGTACTACATATATACAGGATTAGGCTGCTGAGTCAAAAGAAATGAAGAATGCCACACTGATCTCACTACGCTCACTTTTGAGCTCTCTGAAAAAAGTTATAGAAAGTTGCAAAAAGCCAGAGACTCCCCAAAACACCCTTACAAAAATTTAAATCACTCTAAAATTAGACAAGCCGCCAGAAGAACAGAAATTTTAAGTTGCAACAGTGTTTAAAGAGTTTTCCTAAAGACCCCTGGGTACAGGTTACACAGATGATGTTCTGCCCCTGGCAAGTTTGGGACTAAGTCATGACACTGTACATGGCTTTTAGACAGCATCAAACTAAGCAGTGACAGCCACTGGGAGGGACTTTTTACAAGGGTATATGGTGATAAGACAAGGGACAATGGCTTTATACTGAAAGAGGATAGATTTAGATTAGGTATAAGGAAGAAATTCTTCCCTCTGAGGGTGGTGAGGCACTGGAACAGGTTGCCCAGAGAAGCTGTGGATGCCCCATCCCTGGAAGTGTTCAAGGCCAGGTTGGATGAGGTTTTGGGCAACCTGGTGTAGTGGAGGGTGTCCCTGCCCATGGCAGGAGGGTTGGAACTAGATGACCTTCGAGGTTGCTTCCAGCCCTAACCATTCTATGATTCTGATCATACTCCTGAAAGTAGTATGCACAGCAAGACTAAAATAAATTTTAAGTGGTCTTGACAGCTTATTTAACAAGATGGAGAGGTTAGCGGGAAACAACATTCACTGCAGCACTAAAAAAAACACCCATTCAGTCATTCAGTACTAATTCATGTTCCGCAGGAGGTTGATTGATACTGGTATTCTTTCACCTTGAAAGTTAAATCCTTGTGACACACATTCTGTAGAAATGTATATAAGCCTTCAGAAAACCCCCATAATGACCAAAAAGATTCAGTCTATATGTCCATAATAAGTTTTAAAGTTTAGGCAGCCTTCAATTTAACCAATGGTTTTACGCATTAGGTCAAAATATTATACTCGGCACACCTTTGACATGTTACACAAGATGCAGTACAGTTGTTTGTTTTTTTTCCCCCCCTCAAATGTTCTGCCAGAGCATTATATATATCAGGCAAGCCTGTGCTGGTACATTATGACCTTATCAGCGTATCTGATCACTGTACTTGGAACTTTGTACCTGCACTTGGGAAATACGAACTTCCAGTATCAAGTAAGTATAGTGAATTTAAGAGTGCTTAAAAAGACAGAATTTTTCAAACTTTTCCCAAATTAAGTTTTAACACACTTTAGCACAAAGTAATTTTTTGTGTTTTGTGTCAGTGTGCTTCTAACTTTTCACTATGCAACAGAGTAGTCCCCAAAGCAACAGGAGCCACCTCCAGCCATCTGCTTTTGTTGATTCTAGGTGCCTTGTCATCAGAACTGCTAAAAAGAGACAGACACAATGAAGCAGCTCTTCAAATTAATTCTTTTGCTACATTAGGCTGGCCTCAGATGTGCATGAATAGTATTCAAAACTGGTCAGCTGTGAAAGCCGCTGTTCCTTCTAAAGTACAACAGCAATTACACTTAGAAGAAACGTTTGTGTTAATATATCGAGGTAAAGGAATCAGCCTACACAGCATATTGATGTTTATTATGACCAAAAAGCCATTAGGAGATAGTGATCAGACTGCACTGCAAGCATTTTAGCCTCAGCAAGGCAACCCAACTAGCACAAACCAATCCCTCCCACTAACTACTGACAGACACCCCTACATGTCACTTAAAACATCAAGAGTTTTGGTGCATGCTCTTTGGGTCTGTGATCAAAAGTATCACAGAACTGAACTTCTACCTCCGGAAATTAATTTTAAAACACAGGAAGAAGCGGAAGCTACCAGCTGCCCACCACAGCTACCTCTGTTAACTGTAGTAGGATACTCCTGGCCTTTCCCGGCAGAGACCAGCTCCTCCTGCCTCTCCACCTCCTCCGAGGCCACCGACCCAGCGGTGGCCTTTCACTGCCGGGTCTTTGGAACGAGCAGCTCCCACCTGCACAGTTACAGACACACTCGTTTCGGCAGATATTTTTGTGCTCAATGTCGTCGAGCCCACACGTCCAGCCGTTTTAATGCCAGAAAAACAAAACAAAAACTACCTTTGATGCTTTCCTTGCTCTGAAGGGCAGAAATATTCAAGCAAGCACACACAGCCCCCCTCCCCCCAGGATGGCCTGTCTTCCTAACTTTGGCAGAAACTAAACTTTTCAAGTTGAAAACTGCTTAGAGCAGAGCGCAGCCTATCACTACACTACACAAAAATTATGACTGCAAACTGCACTGTACCGAGCGACAAAGAACGAAGCGGCTACAGAGGAACAGCAAGTGTAAATTAAAAGCCAGGTTGAGCCTCAAACCTAATGGCCTGGACGTGACTGATGGGCTCAGGCAAAAACCACAGCGCAAACATTCTCTCTCCAGCTGGCGGGAAGGGCTGCGCGTTTTGGAAGGAAAACTGCCCCTCCCCGCCCCCGCT